TGTGCGGACCACCGTAGCTACGAGAGTCAACCTTGGAAAGAAATGTAGAATTGATTAATCAAACAAACATATTCTAGATCTCCTTCCCCATTGCGGAGGCCAAGTCCACGATGTTTCACCTGGAACGTGGGTCTGCTGGACTCTTCCAGAGTTCGGGAAAGCCGTGGAAAGCACCGCATTGGGTGCGTATGATGGTCCTTTTGTTTCGTGTGCAGCGTATGGATGGTTGGAAGTTGTTGGCTTCGTCCACCCTTGAACTTGCTGCACCAGTTTTTCGGCATGATTCGTCCATGTAGAAGACTTGCCTGGCATTGGACGATTGGGAGGTGAAGTGGAACCATCAACACACTTCACAGCTGCTGAGACATCTGTCGCAACCCAAAGACCAATGTGAGTGGCCTCGTCAGAAGTTGACGTTTGCTTCGATCATTCCTCTTAATTCATGTAGACGGCTGGATGGTCTTCACCCCCCCCGATTGGAACTGCAAAACCTCTTTCAATGTGGGGTTTTATGGATCCACGGTCTTCATTAGTGGGATGAAGCTGGGAGGCCTTCTTAACCAGAAGTTGGAACCTCCATGTCTTCACCCAATTTCGTACGTAGGTCGGAGACTTGGGCCATTTTTGGCAGCATCTGGTGCTTGAGGCGGGGAGTCGTTCAGTCATCGTCAGTCCGAAACACACCGCGAACGCGTGGGCGGATGCGTGGAGGGGGCGTGGAGAATGCGTGGAGAACCGTTAGTTGTGGGTTTGGTTTGTGGGTCCTAAGTGCGGTGACTGCAATCGACCGAGCAATCGACCGGGGACAAACGGGACTCCAGGGATGTCACGACGACAGATGTTTTCCATCTTTACACAAACGGCAAATTTCACTGTTCAAGCTTCAAATGCGGTTGCTTTGTTGGAGTAGATGATGCTAGTGGTGTACTCCTTTGTTTTGGCATGTTTTTTCTTATCCTCTCCTTCTCCCTTTGTTTGTGGGTGTGTAGTGGGAATGTCGCCGGAGTGAAAACAAGTTTGGAGTGTTGCATCTCATGTGCCTTGACAGCCTCAACAAATTATATAAATCAAATTAAGAAACATCCAGATGATTCTGTGCAGATTCCATGAGCCTCGCCTTTTTCTCTGAGCATTCTTCCATGAGCTGCCGGTGCTTGATCCACCTGGATCCGCCAAATCATGGGACCCAACACACCAACTTTGGGTGAACATGGTTCACCTTGGGTGAACAAACTGGGAAAGATGGCTCACCTTGCATGGAACCGGTTCATCGTTTGGGGTCACCGATGGTGTTCTCTGACCGTGAAGACCATCGGTCAGGCCATTGGCGTGGCCAAGGCCTCCCCAGCCTTCGCGCGGAAGGGTGCCCGGGCAGTGCTCAGGCAGCGCTGGCGAAGGAGTTCCGACAGACTTGGCTTTCGGTTTTGGAGGAGTCACCCACAGCCGAAAGCCACCAGTAGTGACTCACCGGTTTTCGTGTGGTGGGCCCCATGGTGGCGCTCATGCCAAAAGAGTTGTAGGACATCTCACGTCCGACCGGGTGCCTCGTGAGGCACCGGCGTCGGACGGATGCCTCCAGCGCCTGGGCGGTCCGTGCGTTGGGTTTTGTCACGTGGAGACTTGAGCAGCAGACCGGACCTGGATGGAAGGGTGGCAGGGGCCATTGGGCGTGTCTGTTCGGATGAAGCCGGGATTCGAAGGGTAGAGGTGCTACGCGGCGTCTGTTCCTCGACATGTTTTATGGTCGGATATCCGGCTTTGGAGCTCAGGAACCTTGAGCAAGATGGCCGGAAGATGGAAGGCGCTTCAGATGCATGTCCGACACTGCTTGCACAGGTAGGTGATGCAATCGGCTAAGCCGCGCACGCCCACCCGACCGGTTTCACCGACTGGGTGACCGCTGACGCTGTCAAGCTGGAAAGCTCGAAAGGGTTGGCTCTCTTGCGCCACCTAAACTGTGCATCACAAACGTTTTAGAACAGAGTGACAGGGTGTTCTGCCTGCAGGGAGCAAGTTGGTCTTCACAGCCACCAGAGGCATGAATGCTGAGGCTCAGGCAGCTTGGATAAATGAGTAGATAATGCGATGTGAGCGTCCAAAGTATCAATATCATTTCAAGTTCCGGGACCTCCAGCATTTGAGTGCCATCTATGTACTGTATGTGCAGCTTGCAATTGCCAAGAGATGGACTGTACCAATTCAATGGTTTAGGAGGAAGCAGCCTGATGAGGAATCGGTTTCGAATTCTTTAGAAAATTCAGTGGGGTTCAAATATCAAAGCTCAGGCGAACGTCGCTGAAGCGCTTCTCAAAAGCACACTCCGGCTCACAAATGGAAGTTGCACTACCTGCATGTCAAGGAACGATTTCCTCGGGGCCAGTGACGCCCAAGTTTTCCAGCTTCCAAGTGTTCGTGAGTCAGAGTAACTAAGGCCCACCAGCTCCTGAGCGTTGATCTTGGCTTTCTGGTGTCCCGGAGTTTAGAAGTCCGAAGTCCCAACACTAATGTCTTCCATGTGTTCCAGTCAAGTGGCCATTGCCAGCAGGTTTTGCAGTAACCATATGGATTTATGTAGAGAAACGTCGGTGCTTTAGCCGCCAGACTCTTCATCACCAATTTTCCTCGTCCACAGAGCTTGTTGATTTGTGGTTGGTCTGATTGCTTGGAGATTCCAGCCCGCCTGATGGCCAACAACGAGGATCGGCTCTACCGGCGGCATGGGGACGTGGAGCGGGTGGCCTTGTTGGAGATGCTGGATTTGCTCGGGGAGAGGCAGGTGCTGCGTTCGGGAAATAGAAACTAGACGACGAGTGGCCCGAAAGCATTTTTCATCACGTAGGAAGTCAGAGTGCGAGTTATCTGTTAAGTGTGCAGTGTGAAGTGTTAAGTCGAGTGAGTTGAGGTAGTGTGTGGGTCTCTGTGTGTGTATCTATGTCCGTGTGTATATGAGTCTCTGTCTGTGTGTGTGCCCGAGTAAGTTGAGGCAGTGCGTGGGTCTCTGTGTGTGATGTGTGTGTGTGTATGAGTCCCTGTCTGTGTGTGTATGTCCATGTCTGCTGCTGGTGAAGGTCTTCACTGTACATATAGTGAAGGAATAATTAGCACGCAGGCCTCCCAAACCCCCCACCGGCGGCCAAGCGGTGACAGCCCAGCTCATCGTCGTGAGCATTTGGGCTGCTGGTAAGGGGAGAAGCAGCGCGCACGCCTCCAGGAAATCTCACTGAAAAAAGCAAGCTGGAATGAAGCGTACTAAAGTTGTACTACAAAGTCGCCAGTTCGCATCTTCCAGCTCCACAGATTGCTCCGCGCACTAAAGTTCTACTACCAAGTCGCCAGTTCTCATCTTCCAACTCCCCAGATACTCCGCGTACTCAAGTTGTACTACCAAGTCGCCAGTTCTCATCTTCCAGCTCCCCGGATACTCCGCGTACAAAAAGCTGTACTACCAAGTCATTGTACTACCATACCAAGTCACCAGTTCTCATCTTCCCACTCCCCAGATACTCCGCGTACTAAAGTTGTACTAGCAAGTCGCCAGTTCTCATCTTCCAGCTCCCCAGCTACTCCGCGTACTACAGTTGTACTACAAAGTCGCCAGTGCTCATCTTCCAGCTCCCCAGATACTCCGCGTACTCAAGTTGTACTACCGAGTCGCCAATTCTCATCTTCCCACTCCCCAGCTACTCCGTACTACCAAGTCGCCAGTTCTCATCTTCCAGCTCCCCAGATACTCTGCGTACTAAAGTTGTACTACAAAGTCGCCAGTTCTCAGCTTCCAGCTC